GAAGGACTTGGGGGTGTTGGTTGATGAGAAGTTCGACATAAGCCAGCAATATGCACTTGCAACCCAGAAACCAACCATATCCTGGGCTGCATTGAAAGAAGCATGACCAACAGGTTGAGGGAGGGGATTTTCCCCTCTGCTCCTCTCTTGTGAAACCTGACCTCACTGCACCCAGCTCTGGGGCAGAGAATGCTCCAGGGAGACCTTAGAGCAGCTTCCAGTACCTAAAGGGGCTGACAACAAAGCTAGAGAGGGGCTTCTTACAAGGGCCTGTAGGGACAGTTCAAGGCGGAATGGCTTTAAACTGACAGAGAGGAGATTTAGATAAGATATTAGGAAGAAGTTGTTCCCTGTGAGGGTGGTGAGGCACTAGCACAGGTTGCCCAGAGCAGCTGTGGCTGCCCCATTCCTGGCAGTGTTCAAGGCCAGGCTGGATGGGGCTTGGAGCAACCTGGTCTAGTGGGAGGTGTCCCTGTCCATGGCAGGGGGTTGGAACTGAACGACCTTTAAGATCCCTTCCGACCCAAATCATTATTTCATTCTATGAATTATGCTCACTTTTGATACTGAAAGAGAGAGGTTGACAAACTACAGGTTGACAAACTATGATTGGCTGGTGAGAGCATATGATATAGGAAAAGAGGCAGTGGAAATTGTATTTTTGAGCTAGGAGAGAATGTAGGAGGCACCTCACTGCAGCCTCCAGCCACGCAAAGGGGCGTTACAAAGCAGGCAGATACTTTGCACAGGCTTGTGGCAAAAGGACAATCAGGAACAGTTACGAGTTGCAGCAAGAGAAAGTCTGACGAAGAGGCAAGGAATAGTGGTAGTATTCACAGTGCCTGTATTTAGGGATGGGGCTAAAGCTCCAGAGAGGTTGTGCAATCTCTGACTTTGGCGACTTTGGAAACTCAAGCAGACAAGGTTCAAAGCCAGCCCTGTTTTGAGGAGGTTACACCAGAGTTTCTTTCCAACCCAAATATTTATATGATGCTGAAGAAAAAAGAAAGCAACCTACACCTGTAAGGTACAGGCAACAGCACAGGCAACACACACCAACATGGACCTGTAATAAAGAACTGCCCTCACGTTATTATACCAGACAGCCTTTCTGAATAATTTAAATAATACCATAGCAGGTCCTACAATGGAGGCACAGAAAATAATGCCTCTTACTAGCTGGGAGCCAAATTTCCTTCACTCAGCTTCCTTTCTCTTCCTTAAGAGCTGCACACAAGCTCTAAATTTGCAATTTCATCCCAACATTTTTTCCATTACATAATTCTGAGTGCAAAGTAATGTCTTGCAATAGGATGTGGCCAGGGCTCAGTGTTAGACCCAAGTCCTACTCCTGGCACTAAGATGGACCAATTGCACACAAATTATGTAAAGTTGCACCTGCGGCTCTTTTTACAGCCTTCAGCATATATATACACACAGATGGAGAGCTGCATTTGCCTGAAGGAGGGGAAAGCTCTGTATAAAAATGAATATTTGTACAAAAATTCACCATTCTTTCTGCTTTTTCAGAAAGGGGGGGGTGCATTTATTACACATTGGGTGATCCTAACATGGAGGTTGGTGAGGTTGGCTGGTATGGATATTGATTGAAAGTGCTATTGCAGTCCCAATTTGATACTTGAGTATGATTGAGGTACTTCAAGTGAGATATCATAGAATCATAGAATAGTTAGGGTTGGAAAGGACATTAAGATTATCTAGTTCCAACCCCCCTGCCATGGGCAGGGACACCTCACACTAAACCATGTCACCCAAGGCTCTGTCCAGCCTGGACTTGAACACCACCAGGGATGGAGCATTCACAACCTCCCAGGGCAACCCATTGCAGTGCTTCACCACCCTTACAGTAAAGAATTTCTTCCTTATATCCAATCTAAACTTCTCCTGTTTAAGTTTTAACTCGTTACCCCTTGTCCTGTCACTACAGTCCCTCCCCAGCATCCCTATAGCCCCCCTTCAGATACTGGAAGGCATCTTCATACGGGAGGTGCTCCAGTCCCCTGATCATCCTCGTGGCCCTTCTCTGGACTTGTTCCAACAGTTCCATGTCCTCTTTATGTTGAGGACACCAGAACTGCACACAATACACCACGTGAGGTCTCACGAGAGCAGAGCAGAGGGGCAGGATCACCTCCTTCGACCTGCTGGTCATGCTCCTTTTGATGCAGCCCAGGATACGGTTGGCTTTCTGGGCTGCAAGCGCACACTGAAGCCAGCTCGTGTTCATTTTTTCATCAACCAACACCCCCAAATCCTTCTCCACAGGGCTGCTCTGAATCTTTTCTCTGCCCAACCTGTAGCTGTGCCTGGGATTGCTCTGACCCAGGTGTAGGACCTTGCACTTGGCATGGTTAAACCTCATGAGGTTGGCATCAGCCCACCTCACAAGCGTGTCGAGGTCCCTCTGGATGGCATTCCTTCCCTCCAGCGTTATCAGCTGAACCACAGAGCCTGATGTCATCGGCTGAGAGTGCACTCAATCCCACTGTCCATGTCACCAACAAAGATGCTGAACAAGACCGGTCCCAACACCGATCCCTGAGGGACACCACTTGTTACTGGTCTCTAGACAGACATTGAGCCATTGACCACAACTCTTTGCATGCAGCCATCCAGCCAGTTCTTTATCTGCTAAGTGGTCCATCCACCAAATTGATGTCTCTCCAATTTAGAGACAAGGATGTCCTGTGGGACTATGTTGAATGCTTTGCACAAATCCAGGTAGATGATATAGATCATCACTGTTGTTGGCCATGTGTTTGCTCATTAATTAAGGTTTTAACTACCAGATTGTTCAGGAAGAAAAGTCATGCTCTGGGGACTCCTGCTATCACTGCCGCAGTACAGGCAACAGTGGACTGCATGGGCCCCATGGTGGGGCCCATGTGAGTGTGGAAAAGCGTAGGTGAGCTGAACCACTGTGCCTGGAACGCAGCAGCAGGAAGATGCCATGCCAGAAGTGCTGTTTCTACATGAAGTCCCTCCAAGTGATTGATGAACTCAAAAACACAATTGCAAAAAAATCACAGAATCACAGAATGGTTTGGGTTGGAAGGGACCTTAAAGCTCATCCAGTTCCAGCCTTCCTGACATGGGCAGGGAGACCTTCCACTAGACCAGGTTGTTCCAAGCCCTGTCCTACCTGGCCTTGAACACTGCCAGGGATGGGGCAGCCACAGCTTCTCTGGGCACCCTGTCCCAGCACCTCAGCACCCTCATAGGGAAGAACTTCTTCCTAATGTCTAATCTAAATCTCCCCTCTGTCAGTTTAAAGCCATTCCCCATTCCTACAGGCCCTTGCAAAAAGCCCCTCTCTAGCTTTGTTGTCAGCCCCTTCAGGCACTGGAAGCTGCTCTAAGGTCTCCCTGGAGCCTTCTCTTCTCCAGTCTGAACCAGCCCAGCTTTCTCCACAGTCTCCGTAGCAGAGGTGCTCCAGCTCTCTGAGCAGGTCCTCTGGACAAACTTGAGCAGGTCCACTACGAACTGTGCAGCCAGACTAAATTTTCCAAGTCATTTAATTGAATTTGGAGGGGAACAGATTAACAAATTTACCGTGCCACCCTGGGACTGGGTCTGTAGCAAACGTCTGTTTCGTTTTGGTAGTAATGATTTATGCAAATAAGTAAAAATACTGCAGTTTTGCAACTGTTGCAGCTACCCCAATGCCTGGGCCCTGCTCCTGCTGCTGGTTTTCCCCAGTTGCTTCAGAAATGTCCCAGTAATGACTGTGAAAAATAGAAATAGATGGGCGCTGGTGAGGGGAAGGGTGGCAGCGCATGGGACACGAATGGCATGTTCTCGGCATTGCCCATGCCTGTGTTTCTGCTGAGTTTAACGGAATTATCTGTGCATGCAAATGCTTGCAGGATTAGTGCCATGTCTTGGAGGGGCAGGGCAGGGAAGCGATGTGATGTATTCAGTCCTCCTTACTGCAAGGGTGTGAGGACATGAAGATACAGGTTCGGAGGTTGTGCTCCCTTACAAGAAAACCTCCAAGTTTTCAGGCATGCCTGTCCATCCTTTAGGTCGGAAGTGTGAGAACTGCACAGTCTGGGTAATTTTAAATGAAATCTCATAGAGAATCACAGTCAGGTTTGGGTTGGAAGGAACCTTAAAGCTCATCCATTTCCAACCCCTCTGCCACGGACAGAGACACCCTCCACCAGACCAGGCTGCTCCAAGCCCTGTCCAGCCTGGCCTTGAACACTGCCAGGGATGGGGCAGCCACAGCTTCTCTGGGCACCCTGTGCCAGGGCCTCATAGTGAGTAACCTCTCCCTAATATCTAACCTGTATCTCCCCTCTGTCAGTTTAAAGCCATTCCCCGTTGTCCCTTCCCTACAGGCCCTTGTCAAAAGCCCCTCTCCACCTTTCCTGTCGGCCCCCTTAGGCACTGGAGCTGCTCTAAGGTCTCCCTGGAGCCTTCCCCTCCCCCGGCTGAACCAGCCCATCTCCCGCGCCGTGCGCTGTGGTTCCGCGCTGCCTGGCAGCCGGGATCCGCACCGCAGCCCACGGCCAGGCCGCCCCTGTGGCGCCGGGCCCGGGAGGGGCGGGAAAGCACCACGTGACAGGTGGCGGAGGGGGGGGGGGGAGCGGGGAAGGAGCCGCGGTCACGTGCCCTCGGCGGTGTGGGCGGGGGCTACGGCGCTGCTCCCGGGGGGGGCGGGGCCAAGCGGGTGACCTTCCGGGAGCTGGGGAGGTGGGGTGTGTGACGTAGTTCCGCTTCCGCCTGCGCTTCGGGGTGGCGGTGGTGGTGCTGCGGGCCGCCGCCTGCTGCCTCGCTCCTGGCCTGAGCCGCGCCGCGCCGCTCCCCGCCTGCACAGGTACCCCCTGCCCGGGCCGGCCCCGGCGGCAGGGAGCGAGCGGGGGCACACCGGTGCGGAGGGGAGGGAGGGAGGAGCGGGAAGGGAGGGGGCTTCATCCCACACCTCAGCGGCGGGGCCGGCCCCGGGGGCCTCCGGGCCGCAGCTGGCTCTTCCCGCTCCCCGGAGGGGCGGGTGGGGAGCTGCCGCTGTCTCTCCCAGCCCTGCTGGGCTGGAGATGTGGTGTCGGGGGTCGCCGGCCCCGAGTGAGTGGTGGAAGCCGGTCTTCCGCTCCTGGGGACCCGCCGCTTGGGGCGGGCGGATCGCCCCGAGGTACCGGTGGTCGCCTGACGACTACTGCCGCTTTCCGTTGCCTGGGGCGGCCTCCGCTGGCGGCTGCAGAGCGGGGAAGGTTCGTTTATAGCGGATCCTGGTTTACTCTGTGTAAAGGTTGTAGCCGTAACGGTCCTGACTGGGTAAAATATCTTGTGGGCTTGTTTTTATGGTCGTAATCTATAGAAGAGCGTGGATCGGATTTTAAGTGACTTTTTAACTTAAAAGCTCTTCAGTAAACGGGTCTCAGGCAAGTGAATTTTTAATAGTTTATCTTATAAAGTCCATTTTATCAAATGTTAATACACTTAAGGTTACTGGCTTAATGGGAAAGCTAGCACTGTGTGGTACAATGGGCACATTGCTTTGAGAGATAACTAATTATCTGACAGGTTTTGTGCCTGAGAGAGAGCTGTTTCTAGGTGAATTCCGTGGAAAACTTTGTTGATCTCATGCTGTTCAACCTTATTGTCAGTGGATGTAAGAACAAAAGTAGTTTTTACTTTATTTTTGTTAAATAAAACTGCCCCCGCGCCAGACCCGTGAAGACCAGTGGCTGCTACAAAATTTATGGTAAATATCAGGCCAGTCCTAGGCAGCACTTATCATATTCTTAAAGCTTGAGTTCATTACTCCAGCACCAAATCAAGATGTCAGCCTTACTCATAGAGATTTTTGTTTTGAAAAACAGTTACCCTGGAAAAGAGCTTCTGTTAAGGAGCAGAAAAATGTGTGGTTTGGTTGGGCACTATTGAGGCTAGAACTCGATTATGAGACACAGCTTTGATCATTTCACTGTGGGGGAGAGCAACACACTAAAAGCCCTGCAGTGAAGTTGTTTCATAGTCCCTCACACTCGGGGTCAGTATGCTTATTTCATCAAGAACAAATACAAGTAACTGAGCTGATAATTCCTGAGTATAAAGTTATGGTAGGAGGAGGTCACAGGTGTTCTTTAAATTGCTTTCTAGCTAGTTCAAGCAGACTTCAGAAGAACTGATAATTAGAAGCTAAACCTATAAATGAGAAATAAAGCACCTTTTAAAAATGAGGATAACACAATAAGAATAGGTTCCATAGCTCTCAAGAAAGTATAAAGGCAACTGTAGAAGATAAATATTAATTATTCTGAGCTGCTGCTGGACCAATAGATCTTTTGCAAGATCCACAGAGTAGGATGGTGTGGACAGGAGTAGAGACTTATGTGTTCTGCACTGATTTTCTATCACAGCTGGCCCGTGAACAAACTGACTTAAAAGTGATGTATGTCTGCCTGGTTTGGAGCCATCTGCTTGTGATGTGACCATCTGAAGGGATTAGGTCTGGTCTTGGTGGGGAGGCAGCTGTGAAACTGAATGGCCTGTCATGAGTAGAAAACTGGAACAGATTACAATTCCTTATGTCTTTGTATATTATAGGTCTTGGAAACTGAAAAGACCTCTATTCTGAAGACTTCTTTTTTTTCTGGCAGTTGATAATTTATAGCAAATGCAACATTTTGGTTGTCAGTCTTAATTAAATCTGTCCTGAAAAATCTGACAACTAAAAATCTGACTTCTGTCCTTTTTGTCAGTCAAAACAGACATAGGAAGCAGCAGGAAGATCATCAAATCTCACACAGATACTAATGATGCAACTGTTGGTTTGGTTTTTTTTTCCCCTTAAGTGTCTTTATCAATTGCCTTTATTCTCCCAAGAAATAAACATGCAGGTCAGACTAAATGACTGCATATAGGTACCTAAGTGCATCAGTGCAGCTGCTGGGAAGGCTTTAAGGGTAGAGAAAGGCAGCGATAAAATGTTGATGCTTGAAGCTGGAAGGTAGAAGCTGCAGAAATTTACATATTTTAGAAAACATTTAGAAGCTGTCAAAGATTTGGTCTCTCTTCCATTTTATCTGTACAGCTATGTTGGGTAGTTGTATTTATGTGGGCAGAAATCTTGTTGTAGATGAGGTTATGCTGCTAGGTATTAGTCATGTTAGAGTGACAAAAGAACCTCTTTGCTGATAGAGCCATGCCACCCAGTGGAAATGCAGCAAAGTCTCTAGCATCTAGAAAGCATTTTTCAGTGTTTGAAAGATGATCTTGGAGACAGGAACTATATCTGGCACATCAACTGTTGGAAAAATGTCATACAACTCAAAAATGAAAGCAGTTGATGCTTAGTTTTGGATAGCTTGAGTAAAACAAAGTGTTTTGGACAGCTCTTTTAACAAGGGTCTCTAAGGACTAATGATGGATAGAAGCCAAGAAAGGCAAGAGCATGGGGAAAAAAATGCTACTACATCCATCAGTTTCAGTTGGGCTGGATGTGATCAAAGAGTGTTTAGAGCTTAAAAATCCACTGTGGAGCTATTTTGTTGCAGAAACTGTTCAGTAGGACAGATTTAGCATGCCACACTTAGCACCACACTTTCAGAAATGGGCTTTTCACAGCCCTCTCTGAAAACCGCTGGTTGCTCTTGAGCGCTGTTGGTAGAACTAGCCTGCCGCTGCTGTGTGAGGAGTGCTTCCCAGCCTTTTTCCAGCCTGTGGTGTGGAGCCAGCAGGCTAGCTTGTATCACCTACCTGCTGTTAATTTTTGGGAGCAACTCATGGGCATCCAGGAGGCCTTGGACTGTTGTCTGAAGAATCTGCCGTGTGTGGTTTCTGGGTAGGTGCAGTGGAAATCCTTCATGTCTTCTCATTACTTACTCTTCAGGATAAAGGATGAGAGAGATTCTGCTCCTAGATGCCTTTTTTTTCTTGCAGATGTCTTTCATCTTGCTCTCTCCATTGCTTTAGTTCTGTACTTCTGGCCGTATGTGTTTCAGAGGGGGCTGAGCAATGGTGCCCTGACCAGCAGTCCAGAGCTGGCAGGCTCTGTGCTTCTGGAAAGCAGGGATGTTTCCAGGGGCTATGGCTTCAGAATACAAAGGACATCTTAGAGCACAGTGGATGCTAGCAGGACTTCAATTTGAATGCTGCCAGTTCTGTAGTCTTTCTGTACCCTGCCGAAATACTTAAAACTCCTGAACCCTCCTCCTTCCAGTCACTCTTTCATCCCCCAACTCCAGGAAAGAGTAATTAGAAGTAGAGTTTAAGTGTGTCAAAACAGATATCTGTGACATTGACTCTTCTCTGGTCGTATCGGTGCTTGTGCAGCGCTGCTCATGGAAGGCTTCAGCAGGAAATGGGAATCCATTTGTTTACTGAATCTAAAATTCTAGTCAAGGCACAATTCAGTGCATTTTTCTAAAATCTTGAGCCCACATGTGACCAGTTGGGGACTTTAGAATTGAGTTACTTGGAGGTCTTCTGACAGTGACTCTTAATTTGTGAGCATGGGAATGCCTTGGGCAAGACTTCCCAATATAATTTTTATTTCCTTAAGGTTTTGACTGAAATTCCTTATACTAGTGTTGAACAACTTGAATATATATCCTAGATTTAAGTACAAATTAGTTCATATGTTGTCTGATTGTGTCTAATGGTAATTTCAGGGTTTTTTGTTAAACTAAGGCAGCAGCACCCAGACTAAATGTATGTTTAAAAACTGTCCCTGAAGTAGGCCATCCTGTCTGCAAGAAGATCCTTGACATGCTTGGCATTGACTCAGTTGTGCCAAATGTTGCCAACAAATGTTGCTCTTGTCTGCTTGCCGAAGTAAAAAAGCCACTAAATCTCATTATAAGATATGCTTAACTATGTTTTTTTTTTTCCATAAGTCATGCAGCAGAATTGTTTCCTTAATTTTTATGGCACAGACACTTAGAAATTATCTGCTGACAAATACTGGGAATATGTGTTGATATTTTGTGAGCAGGCCTGTTTCAGCTGTGTTCATCCACTGCTTTGACTTGAATTTACTACTCCCTGTCACTTTTGTGAAAGATCGTGGGATTTTCTTCTGAGTTTTGCTTTAGGCCTGTTTCCTTTCTCCCTTCTCTTCCTTGTTGCATATATTCCAACTTCTTCTCTTGGCTTTTTCCACTGTCTTGTAGGCCTGTGTTTCAGGGGGTCTTACCCCATCTCTCCATCTGCCTAAAGAAAGGCTGATTCTCTTGGTCTGATTTGGTGTTGCTAACCTGTTTGGGGTTTTTTGTTTTGCTTATGAATATGTGCACTTATGTAAAAAAGTTATTGTATGTTGTAGGTTAGATTAAATAGCTTCTGTCTGTACAGGTAAATTGAAAAGCTGACACTAAGAAGCACATATCAACTTCTGATTATAACTGAACATGGTTCATTGCAAAAACTAATGAACTCAACCTAAGAGGTATCTGTTGAAGAGAAATTCTGCTTTTTCTGGTAGATATCTTTTGAATGGCTGAGCTGTTAACAACAGGAATAGAAACCACTTTCCTGCTGCTTGTTTCTCAAATTGAAACAAATACATGGTTCAGATCAATGACTGTCTCATCTGATACAAAGATTCAAATGTTTGTGCTTGTATGGATTTGATGGGTGGACCAGTTGGTGAATAGTGAGCTATCTGGGTGGTCAACAGCTTGATGTCCAGGTGGAGGCCAGTGATGAGTGGCATTCCTTGGAGGTAGCTACTGGGGTCAGTGCTGTTTAATGTCTTTGTCAGGCACAGTGGGATCAAACATACCCTCAGCAAGTTTGTCAACACCAACAAGCTGTGTGGTGCAGTTGACATGCTAGAAGGAAGGAATGGCATTCAGTGGGACCTGGACAGGTTGGAGAGGTAGGCCTGTGTGAACCTTGTTAAGTTCAACAAGGCCAAGTGTAAGGCTGCATCAGAAGCAGCGTGACCAGCAGTTTGAAGGAGGTGATTTTTCCTGCTTCTACTCTGCTCCTGTGAGACTCCACCTGCAGTACTGCATCCAGCTCTGGGGCCCCCAACATAAGAGGATATGGACCTGATGGAGCAAGCCCAGAGAAAGCCATGAGGATGCTCTGGGGCTGGAGCACTTCTGCTGTGGAGACAGGCTGAGAGAGCTGGGCTTGTTCAGCCTGGGGAGAAGAAGCCTCCAGGGAGACTTTAGAACAGCTGCCAGTGCCTAAAGGGACACTGATATGATTCAGTGTCGATAAATCTGATGTAATAGAGTGGTGCATATAATTTCATATATAACATGATGGGCTGACCCTTAACACCAAGGAATGAAATAGGGCTACTAAAGTGTAAGTTCCATAGCAATCAAAAAGCAGATGAAACAGTAAGAAGCAATAGGAAGAGAACAGGACACAAACCAGAGCATAATTATGAAACTGTATAAAACAGTGGTTATCCCGCATCTTGAATTCTCTGTGGTTCTTTCTTGTCAGTCATATCAAAAGATACAGAAGAATTGGAAAAGACTCGAAAAGACACAGAATAATCTAAGGTATGGAATAGCTGCTGTTCAGGGGTCACTGAAAAAGAGCTCAGCCTCAGAGAAGTAACAGCTGAAAGAAAATGATAAAAATCCATGGAATAATCATCAGCACGAGCAGGGTGGGTAAGGATAGACTTACTGATTCCTCAGCTGCAAGAGTGAAGGAGCAACATCTGAAACTAGTAAGATCCAGTTACAGAACGAAAAAGAAGGTGCCTTTTTGTGTAACAAATAGCGATTCTGTGGACTTATTTGCCAATGGATGTTGTAGCTGCAAGCAGGGAAACTAGACATGTTGGTGGAAAATAAATTATCTGAGGGTTGTTATTTTATAGAAATTGCCTTCAACTTCAGGAGTGTCTGAGTTTGGCATCATTGAAGTATTGGGATGTCATCCCTGTTCTCATTCTTCCCTACTAGTCATTGTTGAAGATAAAATGGGATGCTGAGCTAAATGGGCCCTTGTTCTGATTCTCTACTGTCCTAAGATTAGGAAATTGTGCCAATAGCAATAAATTTACAAAATGGTTTCAGAGAAGACTAGTTTATATGTACATTATTTGCATTATGTAATTTATAATCTAATGGAGCTCATAAACCCATTTGTCACAGGCTGTCTGCACAAACCTCCATCCCTGAGACCAGTCTCTGTGTTAAAAGGTCTTCACTATCAAGAAGGGAAAACAAAGATCTTCTCTTATGTTCCTCTCTGTCTCCTCCTGCACTCTGTCCTAAAACCTTCTGGCTGCACTAGGGCATGTCCATCTATTTCACCTGCTCCTGGTCATCCTTTTAACAGTTCTTCACCTTTAGTCAGTATTTCTTGTCAGTCAGTCAAACTGAATATACCTTCAGCTGTCCTTTTGTATGGCTAATGAAGATTGACAAACCTGTCAGTGTTCTTTGAGATGAAGCTCTGGAAAGCTCTTAAGTGCAGTAGTTGCCTTCATGGAAAGGCAGCACCTGACTCGTTGATCCCTGTTTGCAATGTTTCTTGTAAAGTCAGGTGTGCATTAATGACACCTTTGCTGTGTCTGTGTTCAGTTTTGGTGGAAACAGTGAATGTAAATAAGAGCATCCACTATCTTTGGTGTGTTCTGAAATGGAGGATAAAGCACCAGGAAACTATATTCTTTACTTCTAACAATAGGATCTGTGTGGGGATTTAATCATGTTTTGTTTTAGAAGCATAAACTTTATCTGCAGCAGCCTGCCTTACCTTTTCTGAGTCCTAATTTAGAGAAGAGCTTTAATACTTGTCAGGCATTGCTGTCTGGGTAGGCTTCCTGCTTGGTATAAATACTTTAAATATTTTTTCTTAGTGTAATGTGACCCATTTACATTGTGTCATTGCTGTCTTACGTGAGACAGGTAGAGGCTGAAGATTTGCCTTTTCATGAGAATTTTATCAAGAGGGAAGTATTTGGGTGGCCCACATCTCTATGGGTCAGTCATTTAAACAAAGCCACTGCTAAGAGGTGCTCTCAGTTCAGCACTTACTGTGGTTTAAATGATACAAATGTAGAGTTTGTCTCTGATTCTTGCTTGAAATACTTTATTGTTTTCAACAATTTTAACTTGTATCTTACCTTAATTTTCAGAAAAATGTCTGGAACCGATGATTTTTCGGTAAGTAGCAGTTTTTCTTTCCTGGAGATCAGCCAGTTGGTTACTTCAGTCTAAAAGTTGACATGCTTTCTCAAGAAAGGGGAGCTTACAGTTGAGAGGTTATTTCCTCTGTACTGCAGCTGTGGTGTTTTGCTTTTTGGTAGATGTAGCAGTCTGTGGATTAAACACACGAAGCTGCTGGGCACTTCATGGGTTCTTTTCTACTATAATATTACCAAAGGAATTGTGGTTTAATAGTGTCCGAATAGTTATATAACGGCAATCTGTAAAAATCCCTTTGGATTTGTGCAGAATTGCTCTGTATGGTTGGTCACTTTCTACCATTGGTTTGCTAAGTGCAGCATGTCAGAATGCCTCTTTTTCCTTAATGATAGAAGATGCACAAAAATAAATGTAATCATCTCTGTGCAGCAGCAAAGAGCTGTTTTCCTATTTTGGCAGCTGAAACATACACACATAGTGGGTGAATGTCTGCAACTAGTAAGTCCAGTAGACATTTTACATTCTCACTGGTGCTTTGTTTTTTAGCTGGCAGATGCTTTACCAGATCAATCTCCTGCTAAAACCTCCAAAGTGAGCAGTACAAAACCTGGTCAGCAACCTGGTCAGCCACCACAGGGTTGGCCAGCTTCAAATCCCTGGAATAACCCAAGCGCTCCCCCTATGGCACCAACTGGACTGCCACCAAATACGTCCGCTTCCACTATGCCATTTGGACCTCCACCAACAGGAATGTATCCTTCAATGCCCCCTGGACCGCCTGCTCCATTTCCTCCTCCTCCTGGTGGTCCATATCCACCCCCAACTGTGCCAGGTCCTGTCCCACCAGGGCAATATCCTCCACCAAATATGCCCTTTCCAGAGCTTCCAAGACCTTATGGTGGTCCAACAGAGCCAGCTGCACCTCCTGCTCCTGTTGGGCCATGGGGATCCATGCCCTCTGGAGCATGGGGACCAACAATAGGAGGGCAGTATCCTGCACCTAGCATGCCATATCCACCCCCAGGGCCATATTCCGCTCCTACCCAGACTCCAGGGGCTGCGCCAACAGTACCATGGGGTACGGTCCCACCTGGAACATGGGGACCTTCACCGCCAGGTCCATTTCCTCCACCCACAGGATTATATCCAGCTCCAGGACTGTATCCTACGCCCCCTAATCCTTTTCAAGTGCCATCTGGTCCTGCTGGTGCTCCATCAATGCCTAGTGGTCCTCATGTGAGTATTTCATTTTGGTCTTGAATTACTCTAGAAACGTTATACTTTTAAGTGTGGAAATTCGGTAGCATAAGATCTGTTAGTGCAGGTTAGGAATTTCAGCACATCTGCCTTCTGTAGTCAGTGGAATAGTAGCCAACTTCTTAAATGCTTAACTAAATATCCTAGAATGGTAAAATTACATCAGCTTGGGGTGTGTCTAAGCATTACATTACAGTGGTCTTCCACTACTTGGGAAGCCTTCTCTGAAAGGCAAAAAAAAAGATAGGTAGCCTTGTAATAAATTCTGAAGGAGAAGATAGTCTCTGATCTAGAGAGACTGCTTCTAGAGCACGTACAGAGGGAATAAAATCTTGTAAGGGTGAATTAAGTTTTAATTAAAAATTTTTGTAACTGAATTAACTGCTTTATGAAAAGCCTGTATTGACCATGAATTATTGTCTCTTGCAGCCTTACCGTTGAATACATTCTGGGCAACAAAATACTGTAGTTTTCCCACCTTCATCCACTACTTATAGAGATTTTTACAGTTTTTGTTTCAGTAATGTTGGGGGCTATGAAGAATACTTGCCTCTTGTATGTGCATTTGAGGTATGAAGGAGCAGTTTGCATAAATCTTCTTTGCTCATATGCTGGTATATGGTTTGGTTTAATAAAGTGAATTACAAAGAGCAGAAATCTCACAGAAAACATCTGTGGATCTTAATATTAGCAAGTATTCCTTGGAAAAATGAGAGCTGCCAAGAATTACAAGGAATCAGGCCCAAGGACTTAGAAGTTAATTATTAAATTTCCATGAATGCTTTAAGTCTTGTTGCCAGACTTGTGCTGGTCACTGAATGGATGGATAGTCATATTTTGTCTATTTTCAGGTTGTTCTAAAGTCAATAAAAAGTATTTCAAGATTTTAGTCAAGAAATCTAATTTTTCAACATGCTACAGTCATTCAGACTAAAGAGACAGAGCATGGGAACTTGAAGGTTTTCTCAGCATTTTGTATATACTCGAACCTTATTGCTCAGTCTGGACTACGGAGGAGAAGATTTGAAATACTTGGTCTGACCTGTCAGCACACTGTTCATGTTCACAAACAGGCATTTATGTGCAAATTAAATAACCTGGATGTGCAGTTAACTTTAAATCAACAGATGTGAGTTTTATGCATGCAAATGAGGACATCATTTTGCCAGTTCTCATTCTGTGGTGGTTGGAAGTTTGGCTTGGTCTGTGTAAAGAGAAACTGATTCCCATTTAGGTAAGGTACTTCCCTATTTCTAACCTGGGTTCTAGTCATTTACAATTTGACTTTGCTGTTGCGTGGTGTAAACTCAGCAGACTTTTTCAGAGTCCCTGGAAACTGAACTTGAGCATAAAAGATCAAAAAAAAAATCCCTTATCTGACAATTCCCTTCCCAGCCATTTTTGGCATGGCATTTAGTTCCATCAGCTACAAAGATCCTTATTGCCACAGTTGAGAAGGAGGAGGTCTTACTGGAGTTTCCCTGGGTGTTGTAACGGGGAGAAGTCCTCTGTTCTCAGCTAAGGTGTCTGCATACCTCACTGAGTAAGTGTAACTTAGGAGTAATTGAATGTCTAGAAGCACTGCTGCGTAGCTGTCTTCCCCCTCTGAAGGGGCACTGCAGTCGGTGTTCATATTCTTGCCATATCTGTGCTAAGTGCATGCAAGGGGCTTGCTGCAATGCTAGTTTAGTGTTACCAAGACACGGAGCCATGTGTCAGTGAGGAGTTCTGGCACTCTTTGTGGTACTTCATAGCCTATACTCTGACCATGGATGGCTTGTTTTATCCCCAGCTGGGGATATCCTAACTTAGCCTTTGTAGGTAGAATTAGGAACAAGTTTTGCTTAATATAGTATCTCATTAGGGAGTCTTTGTATCATGGAACTGTGAAAGTGAGGTGATTCTCTTCCAGTACCTTATTGTGGCTTCCTGCATGTGTGTGATGGACTTCTTAAAAACAAATGGGGTGACCTGATGGTGATGCTTGTTTGTAGTTTAGCCTTTACAGAATCATAGATCAGTTTGGGTTGGAAAGGACCTTAAGATCGTCTAGTTCCAACCCCCTGCCATGGACAGGGACACCTCACACTGGACCAGTTTTCTCAAAGTTCATCCAACCTGGCCGTGAACACTGCCACGGATGGAGCATTCACAGCTTCCATGGCAGCCTGTTCCAGTGCCTCACCACACGCAGAGCTATATTTACCCTAAATCTCCCCTGTTTAAACCTGTTACCCCTTGTCCTATTGATACAGTCCCTAATGAAGAGTCCCTCCCCAGCATCCCTATAGGTCCCCTTCAGTTACTGGAAGGCTGCTAGGAGGTCTCTATGCAGTCTTCTCTTCTCCAGGCTTAACAGCCCCAACTTTCTCAGCTTATATTCATATGGGAGGTGCTCCAGTCCCCTGATCGTACTCGTGGCCCTCCTCTGGACTTGCTCCAGCAGTTCCGTGTCCTTATGTTGAGGACACCAGAACTGCACACAATGCTTGAGTGAGGTCTCACGAGAGCAGAGCAGAGGGGCAGGATCACTTCTCTTGACCTGCTGGTCATGCTCCTCTTGATGCAGCCCAGGGTACGGTTGGTTTCTGGGCTGCAAGTGCGCTCTGCTGGGTTATGTTTAGTTTCTCATCAGTCACCACCTCCAAGTCTTCCTTAGGGCTGTTCTGAATCACTTCTCTGCCCAACATGTAGCTGTGCCTGGGATTGCCCTGACCCGGGTACAGGAGCTTGTGCTTCACTTTGAACTTCATAAGGTTGGCATTGGTGCATCTCTCTAGCGTGTCAAGGTCCTGCTGGATGGCATCCCTTTATGGCGAAGTCCTGCAGTATTTTTTCAGAAGAAAGCAGTTAGCTGGTGCTGTTTTAATTTAAAGTTATGGAAGCTAATAGAAAAGGTATGTGTTTTTTTTTGTTCTAGAAAGACAATACTGGAGCTGAACAAAAAACTTAATGTTTCAGCTTAAAACTTAGCATCTGTAACTCTAGAAATAGGAGCCGAAAGTGCAAGTCTTCACTAACCTTAAATAAGGCTCAATTGCCCCCAAATAGACCTGGCTTAGATCTTGGCAAGACTAATTTAAAATTAACATAAGAGAACATTGACTATATTTGCTCAAGTGCTTTTTTGATACCTGCAGCCTTAGATAATAAATCAATATAATAACAAAACATGTATTCCAAATGAATGGGTCATGCAGTAGCAGCACTCCAGTTCAGAATTGCACTGGCTGGATGTCTTTGCAGGGAATGGGAAGAAGTAGGAAAGGATAAAGCGAACGTAGCAAGTAATGATTTTTTTGAAAGGGGATTTGTAAAAGTAACTAGACTTCTAGGTTCTTCCTGAAATAGGCAGGATTTAGTACTGGAACACTTAGGCTAAAATTCAGTATATATGGGATGTTTTTCAATGTATATTCGTATTTCTTGAGGTCATGGAAACTGTTTCATAACCCCTTTGTTTTTGTGAGCAAAGTTCTTTGCATAGCAGTGAAAAGGGTATACCTGTTAATCTATTGTGTAAAAACTCAAGTTGTCACTATATACCGTGTAGTAACTTTATCACATGTTATGTCAAGTGTGAGCAACTTCTGGCCTGAAGCTTTTGCGATGGAATTTGTACATTTCTATGCCTCATTTGAGTTAAATTGCTGAGAAGTTCGTTTTGACTTGTGCTTTGAGATTGACATACTGCATTTGTTTACAATATGAAATATAAGCAATCACATCTTTAAAGTATAGATTATCACCTGCTGCTGTATTTTCTTTAGATGAAACAAATATTGCTGTATGATAGTGAGAAGCTATAAATACAGGATTTGATATTTTTTTGAAAATGCTGTCACTTTTGTATAAGATTAGACATTAAACGTATTTTCAAGACTGTTGTGTTTACTGTTTTTCACTTACTGCTTTTGACATGCCTGTGTAGACTTTTGCCTTGAATAGTGAAAATAGGACATCCTTGATTTGCAAAGACTGAATATAAAATCAGAATGACTTGACTTTTGTGAGTGTTTTTCCTCTTCCTTTTGTGATTTTTGCAGCCTGTGCATAAGGCATATTAAATGTGGATGTGACCATTGCTATCTTTGAGCATGTCAGTCTTGGGTATTGCCCATTCACAAACTGCCTTGCTAATGAAGAAAAAAAAAACACCTGATTTTGCTTGCTGTAGAGGAGGAATGGGACTTGTTTTTCACCTGTGAAGAGTGTTGCGTGTGTTTTTTCCTGGCTCTGAACGATTCCAGTGCTAGACTGACACATTTGGATGTGCTGAGTTACCCACAAACCAATGTTTTCATTCTCTTATCAGGAGTTCAGTGGGATAGGGTGGATAACTATGAGAAACTCCAGGGCTTGGCAGCAAGGTGAACTACAAAGTCTGGTCATCACTCATCCTTACATTTATATTCTTCGTATATCTTGGCCTGCAGAACAGGCTGCCTTTACTCACATCTTCACTCTTTCAGTAAGGTAAAAATGGCAGCAGTGAGCAGTAAAGACTGGAAATAATATTAGTCCACTTTAAGGTTAGAAAACAAGCTCCTCTTAAACTGTGCACTGAATATAATTTTTACATCTGTTACTAGAATAGTACGTGTGGCCAATGTTTTATCTTAACTTTTGGCTATGGGACTGTGTGCTCCTCTGGATTCCTCTAATGAATTATTCCTTGCACCTTTTCTGCATTGGTAGAGATGAAGACTTGGAAATGTTGATCCAGTTATGTTAATTGCTGACTGCCCTGCAGACCCAAAAATCTGTAATGGAATTTCTGGGAGGGGATCTGCCAAGCAATAGTTATCTACATAATTCTTAGGGGAGTAGTTAGTTTTGAAAAGCTATTCCAGGGGTCTTGCAAAGTGGTGACTATGTGCATAGTTAGATCTACTGTGTCAGATATATTAGTTCTGGTCTACCATTGTGAAGGCAAGCACTTAGCTCCAGGCAAGTTCTGAGCCATTCTGTGCACAGGCATTGATTCACTGACCAGCCAGTGCCAGAACTGCCTCTGCACTGTCCAAAAGGTGAGACATCAGTATGAAAGTGTCCTTCACCTCTGCTAAGTAAAAGCCCTTGGGCATCTATGTTAAGGATGAAACTTCTCATACATATATTTCTTAATACTGGTTTTCCTATTTCTGAAGTTAAACACAAAATTCCAATGATTAGAATGCAATTCCATATGCTTCAAACAGCTGTTACCCACCAGACACATCATAGTGTTGTCATCTGCAAATCAATTGTAATACAAGCTTCTAATAACTAGTACATGCTGCAAGAGTTACTATCGCTGCACAACACAACAAAATGCGTTTCCCTCTGGGATGTTTGGAGAAGGACATGCACTGGGACCCAGATGAGCTCGGTGGGTGGATGTTGGTATGTGTGACCTTGAGAGGAGTGAGCTCTGCACTCTCTGTCCTGGCTCCACCTGGGAGTGACTGATGCCTGGAAATGTGCCACTTGTGCATGGGCAGAGGTTGCAGTAGGAAAGGTCATGGTTTGAAGAGGGATAATGGCTAGTTATACATGACATTGGTGTACTTTGTATTGCCTCATTTTTTCCCAAATAGCATTTTCAGGGTAGTTGTGGAAGGATTGAATTTAAAGTTTCCTCTATTCTCACAATTCAGAGGAATTTGAGCTAACTCAAACCAAAAATGTGCTTTTGTGAAGACACCCATTGAGCTGTAACAGCAAGGTAAGTTCTTGTTGGTCACTATTGCCTGCAGGATCTCTCAGCTATGTGGGAAACAGCATGAAAAGCTGTTTGCACCATAGTGGGTACTTCTGTTCCAGAGATCTGCTGATTGTTCAGGTTGATGACAGTGAAGGCAGAAGAATGGGGACTTTGTATCTCCTGTGCAGCAGTTCATAAGTTGTGGTTAAGTTAAAAATTCCACCTGCAGAAATAAAAAGGAATGGTCAAGGTAATGGTGCAAACACTTCGGTTCTGTAGTAGTGCTTTCCAAAGCACAGCCTCCTTGTTAAATGAGAGACAGAGATGAAATAATACCTGTGTTTCTTCCCTCTTTCCCGCTTTGTCGTGGCACTCAGAGGGGAAGAGCTATGCTGAGAAGCGAGTGGCATGCTGTTGGGTTTAATTTCAGGTCCTAGTTCTGTTGTCTGTACAAGATCTCACCTGCTCTCACAGATTCTTCTGGTGATTAGGGGAGGGAATTCTTGGAGCACTTGTCCCGTAAACTCTTACATCAAGTTGTGCTGTCAATCACCAGATTTGTTTCACTGGGCATAATGGTGGCTTAATATACATCTCCCTATCCCTTCCCTCTGCCACTATCCCAGTTACCTTTAGACCAGGTAACTTCCCTGATACAACCCCATGTACAAAGTGTTCTGCTGAATGAGGCAGAGCAGAAAGCTCAGGCAGAGAGCAGCGTAAGTGGGATCATGACCCTGGTGGGGGCATGTTTGCATTAGACTGTCAGTGGGAAGATCTTCATCCAGAAGAGGAGCTGGAACACATGTTCACCATAAGCACTTAATTTCATGCTCTGCAGAAGAAGTTGTTCCTCTGAGGGATCCTAGAGAGGATGAGTTATTGAAATTATCAATGGTTGGATCTTGTGGGCAGGTGGGTGCAAGTCAGGTATCCTGCAGTGCCCTATCCTGTTAGTACCTGTTTCTGAGGGATGTTAAGGCTGGAGATGTCATCCTTGATGTGAAGTGAGGGGGGCATAATTCATAGTTTGAGTTTAAAGTGAAAAACTGCTGGTGGTGAAGACCGTGTTTTAAAGCAAACACCAGCCTGTATTGCTTCAAAACTGGATGATGGTGTGAGTTTAAAAGCTAGAGAGTCATAACATCAACAAGGGGAAGCTTTATCACAGTGAGGACAGGAGAGCATTGGAGCAGGCTGCACAGGGAGGTTGTGCAGCCTCTGTCCTTGGGGGCTTTGAAGGCCAGCCTGGATAAAGCCCTGAGCAGCATCGTTGGTCTTGGAGCTGGCCCTGCTCCAAGTGGGGATGAGGAACCCCCTGATGTCCCTGCCCACCAGAACCAGCCTGTGACTCTTAAGGAAACTGACACTGTTCTGTGTCTGATTAAAAGCAAACATGGAATTTATCCGTTCTTGAAACAAGTTCAGAAGGGGGCAAATGGCACAGATGAGATCTACACTCTGGGGTGGATCTATGACTTCTGGTGGGAACCCAGTATGTGCTAACAAGGGGTGATCTTCCCTGGT